ATTCATTGAATTCTGAAATCATTGGAGCACTAACATACAGTAATATTTGATTTCCAGCTGCCAGGTTGGATAAACTAAGTTCTTATGAGAACATTATTAATCAATTATGTATTTAGACTATAGACTTACATACCTAACATTATTTTAAAAGGTAGCTTATATTTTTGTTATTAAACTAAAATAGAGATTTTAGTTTTTTTAAATTAAGTCATCAAATGGCAGATTTTTTTAAGCTTGTGTTTTGAAATTCCATAAGTCTAAAAAGATGTCTCAGAATAAAGAAGTTTCTTGGAATTTTTAAAATTAGTGGAAGTGGAAACATGATTTCTACATACAAACAGGAAGTAATCTTCCAGGAATATTTGATTTAGAGGAAGGTAACAGACAAGCTGGGGATGCCATGTTCTGCCGTGGGACAGACAGGACAAACTGCAAGTGATGGGGAGATCGGGTGAGAAGTGAGACTGACGATTCAAATCATGTGCTTCACCCTCAAGAATAAATTCCTCTCCTCCCCAAGGCTGTTGGCTCTTGCTTCTCTTATACTGTGTGTGTGTGTGTGTGTGTGTGTGTGTGTGTGTGTGTGTGTGTGTGTGTGTGTATCCTATCTATCCCCTACCCTACCCCTCCTCCTCTTTCCTTTGACTTTTCACACTTAGGTTGTGTTCTATGTTACCTCTGGGAACATTACACATGCCATCATATTCTTCAACTACGCAGGGTAACACTGTAACACTCAAGCTGAAAACATTAACTACACTGTTCTTCTAAATTTCATATTACCATAAGTTAAGATGCTCTTCGTTACTGTAATAAAATAAAAGGTCAACTTAAAGTAGAAGGACATGTTTAGGATTCCGGTTTCAGAGGTTTTGAACAGTAGCTGCTTGGCTTTGTGGTTCTACGGTAAGGTGAATGCTCATCACAGTAGAAAATTATTTGCCACAAGGCAGCGAGGATGAAGAAAGAGGAAGAAGATGGAGGATGCAGAGCAAGAAGAACAGTCCAGGGACAAGATGTCCCTTTCAAGTCACACCCCCACGACTGCTAAACATCTCTTCACCTATCTGACCTTAAGTATTGTTCTTTTTGTTCTACTGGATAACTTCATCTCTGAACTCTTGGCCTGTTTACAGTCCATGCTGCTAAGTCCCAAGTGGTTATGTAGCTATCTCGGAGCTACAAACCTAGGACTCTCACTTTGTACACGCTGTCCTTAACTGAAGATCTCAAAACGTAACCTCTACACGCTAAGGCATGTTCTTTTTTCTAAAGCCCAGTGCCCTCGACATTCACCTAGTCAATGGCATCACTATCCATCCCATTACTCAGACCTAAAACTAGAAACCTCTTTGTTCACCTCACAATGATCTGATACATTGTTATCTGGGATCTCTCTCCTTATCACTTTTCAGCAAATAATTACAGGCATCCTATGACTAAACTCTACCCTGTTCTCAAGCCTCCTTAATTCACCTACACACTGATGCCCAGTACTTGTCTAAAAGCACAAAACTAACCATGACATGTACTTTGTTTAAAATGTCAGGGCACTAAGTCCAAAATCTTCCATAGATTCTATAATTTTCTAATCTTGCCTCTGCCTTTTTCATAACGGTGTGTACTCTTTTCCTAATACTGCAACCTTGACAGCAAATGGTTCAAAATACCTGTTAACCTTGAGTGTACAGTCAAACCTCTTTTGTGACTCTATAGGAACTATTCTTTGCCCTTATCTAACTTTCAATTCAGCTTCAGTTGACTTCCTCTATGATCCCTTTGCTTACTCTTCCCACTTTTGTGAGTGCTGCTACAGTGTTTATAATGTAACCACAACACATACCCTTTTATGCTTTGTTTGTTTGATTTCTTTAGCCCACTACTGATTTTCTTAACGGTAGCATAGTTTGAATTTCATAAGCATTTGGTAAACAGGCTTAAATAAAAAGACAATTCCAAATTTAAATTTCATTCTTTCATCTATTTTTATTTACGTGATGGGAAATTAATAAAAGTACAATTGGTTCACTGGTTAGTGTTAGCTGGGCTACCTAAGTGAGCAGAGCTGTAAATAGTCAAATGCTTAGCCCTAATAGCACCAGCAACATTCCTGTCGAAGGAATACAAATCTAGGTCTGCTTCCTTCATCAGACCAGACGATAAAGCTCAGGTAAGAGGGCCATGCATAAGCTGGATTTGAATTCAGCTCTCAGTAAAAGTTTCACTTTACACAATGATCAAGAAGGCTTATGAATGTGGCATGCTTCTAGAAGAGTAGATCCACATCTTTTGGTCAGTTCTCAGACAACCCCTTGACTTCAAAACCGTTAAGCATCAATGGCTCACACATATGAAGCAAATGCTGAAAAGAACATGTTGATAGTTTTATGGGGGGTAAAAAAATTAAAAAAATTTTAAAATAATACATATGCTGTATTTAAGTTCAACAAAGTTAGTCTAAAATATATACGCCAATTATTAGTATAAATTTGTTATCTCCAAATTAAGTTACCTAAAAGTTCAAAGTCAAGGTGTTATTCTGAATCTCTGAGTCACAGCAAAAAAAGGAAGGGAGGAAGGGAGGAAGGCAGGCAGGCAGGTTGGTTTAAGAGCTATACCTTCTGATGGCTGATGTAAAAAGCTAAAGTCTAGTACAAAAAGAGGCCACAGCATGCAGGAAGCTATTCCCGACCACCATGCTGTAGATTAGGGTAACTTATTGAAGAAGTGTGAAATGAAATAGACCTAAGAAACAAGGGAGTGAGAGATGTCCTCACCCTTCTAACCCCTGTCCAATAAGAACGATGTCGCTGATGGCTTTCATGCTGCTTCGTATCCACAAGCAGAAGCACATCTTGAAGACAGCTAGAAGGCAGTGAAGCACTCAGGGCTGAAGATACTTTCTAATTTCCATGTAGATTAGATCTATGTAAGTCTCTCTTAGTGTGTCCTCATTGTTGTCTAAGTTCTCTGGGATTGTGGTTTGTACGCTGGTTTGCTTTGCTTTGTGTTTAAAAACCACCTATGAGTGAGTACATGTGACAATTGTCTTTCTGTGTCTGGGTTACCTCACTCAAAATAATGTTTTCTAGCTCCATCTATATTCCTGCAAAATTCAAGCTGTCATTATTTTTTTTCTGCTGTGTAGTACTCCATTGTGTAAATGCACAACATTTTCCTTATTCATTCTTCGGCTAAGGGCATTTAGGTTGTTTCCAGCTTCTGGCTATGACAAACAAAGCTGCTATGAACATAGCTGAGTATATGTCCTTGTGGCACAATTCAGCATCCTTTGGATATATACCCAAAAGTGGTATTACTGGGCTTAATCTAGTTCCATCCATTCTCTATTTATGGAGCTAGAGTAACGCTACTAAGAAATGTGTAAGAACATACTACTAACATGATTACTCTCCTATGTAAAAACTTGCCTGCTTGTCTTTATGACATTCAAACTCCCTGATCTCTGATCACACTATCACATCAACGTCCAAAATGCTAAACTTCGTTCAACTCTTCCTGCAAACCATTCCTCTCTTCCCTTGACCTCTAGATCCTTGCAAAAGTATAATTTATTAAAGTACTTCCCTTTTCTATTTCTCCATATCTCTTTGGTTATCTCTTTATATATTCTTAAAAGTCTTGGCTTAACCAGCAACTCCTCCAGTTGATGTATGTACTATATATCCATCAAGTAATCTGCTTATGTCCCATAAGACATTCATTTCTTGTTGCCTATTGAACTATGTATTTTCCCACAGACTGCAATCAATAAGAAAGTAGCAATGTGCTATGTTTTATTTACTGATGTATCCGCACTATCAAATATACAGCCTGGTTCTCAATAAATACAAGTCATTTATTGCACTTGTTGACAATACACAAAAAACACATTTTACTAAGTCTGCTCAAAGTTTCATGAGTACATTTAACATTTTTAAAAACTGCTTCCACTATATGACAGAAATACAAAGAAATATAAAGGTATAAAAGACATTTATCCAAGGTAAATTTTAAAAAAAAAATCCCTTTGAACAAACAATTCAATAATTGATGATCATTGTATCAAGAAACAGGTTCTTATGAATATGCTCTTCCATCTGAAGAAAAGACAAATTTGTTTCAGTACCTGATTATCTGTAACTTACCCCTTCCCTGTTGGACTCCTTGTTAGCTGAGTGACTGTTATTCTAGTGTGTGACTAGCCGAGTGCTGACTACATCAATCCGATCACTGCCTCCTTCTCCCCAAGAGAAGTGAAGTGCAAAGAACCAGGTGGCTAGCATATCAACTCCTGTTTACAAAGTGAGTCTCATGATAACTCTCAGCCCTCTTTACAGAAAACAGTCTTAGAGCTAGTTAGTAGCTAAGAGTCAAGAAAAGCTCTCCTCTTCTGCACAGTGACACAACAAAGGAACTGCTATGGAATGAACTGTACCGTCTCCAGAGTCAGACAGTGAAGTCCTGACTCCCTGTATGATGGTATTTTGAGGTGGAGTCTCTGGAAAATAATTACATTTAGCTGACATCATGAGGGTAGGCCCCTCATGATGAGATTAGTTCCCTTGTAAGAACAGATACAGATATCTTGCCTTCCCTCTCTCCCACCACCATGGAAGGTTATGCTGTCTACGAGCCACCAGGACAGCCCTTGTTAGTGCCAACCACTATGGCACCGTTATCTGGGACTACTATACTCTGGAACCATGAGGAAATAAGCTTCAGCCTATGGTGTTTCTTAAAACAGTTCTCTGTATGAATATAATGAGCATATTTGGAATTCCACAAACCAACTCCACTTCCATTTGATTCAATAGTAATATCTTTAAGTCAATGCAGGAATGCTGGTCTTGAAGTTTTGTTTTGTTTTTTTTTTTTTCAAATGTTACCTTTTAGTTGACAGTTTTTGAAAATGAAAAACAAAAAAAAGAGTAAGGGGTCATAAAGAGATTTTGGAATGCAGCATCAATCAAGAAAAAATGAAATAAAAAGATACTTACCACCACCAAGAATGTAAGAATCCTGGCGGCTCCCCCAATGTGATGTTTTTTTCCCATCTTATCTAAAACAAATTTAAAAAAAAAGTATTACTTTCCTCGGAGTACCTTTCCCCATACATATTACCAAACAAAGTTTTCTCATTTAAAATGCTAGAGTGATTTTTTATATGTTCTTTATAATTTTTGTGCTATTCTTTGTTCAGATTTTCCAAGTACGCCTTTACATATGATGTGTAAGAAGATGCCACCATAATTGTCTTGAACTTGCTTCTCACCACTTCAGCGATAAACATTTGGGTCTTGTTGTTCCATCTTTCTGTGACCAGAGAAATGGCTCAGTCATTAAAGGCATTTTCTGTGCAAATCTGGTGACCAAAGTTCAATTCTAGGCACCTACATAGAGTCAAAAGGAACTCCAGAGTTGTCCTTCTACTTCTAGATGCATGCCAGGCATATGCATTCCCCACACACGATAGGCGCATTTAGTGTGTTTTAATTATGCGCACACACACATAAAAACATAAACAAATAAGCTGACACTAAGAATGTGTTTCCTACCTTAGTCATCATTAATTGCCTTCCTGTTAAGTTCTCATGAATACAGAGACCCTCTGAGAGGAGAATGGAAGTAGGAAGAAGGGGAAAGAGCTGCTAACACCATTGGGGTTGCTCCACCAGCAGCAATTAGTGAGGCTAACGGCTGGTCCCACTCCACCTGTTTCTAGCTTAAATAGACTGGATCCCACTCCACCTGTTTCTAGCTTAAATAGGCTGGATTCTTCCTGACCTCTAAGATGCACAAACACAATTGAACAAAACCTTCCTCCAATAGTGGTATTTCAGGTCCATGAGGGTCCCCTGAGCTCTGAAGCAATTGAGACCAGAAAGCTCATTCTTTCCTTGGAGGTAAAAAATTCAGCTATGAAAAATCTTTTGCTCATGTTTTTATAAGTACAACCTCTTTGGTTTGATCTTTCAGCCCTGATGACTGGTTATGGAGATGAATGATTCTGTGTAAATATATAACTTCAATGTTCCTTCTATGCTTTTTTAAATAACGGCTTCGCTATTTGCCTACGTTATATTCTTTCTTTTGATATATTTAGTGTGTTTTAATTAGAATGTCTGGATCCTGACTGATATCACCAAACCACAGCACTTCATGGAATATTTAAATTGCTTTCCTTTTAAGCAAAATGAAGTATAAACATTAGCAATGTGAACCAAGGAATAGTTAAGAATCTTCTTTGCCTGTTTTCTCATCTATAAAATAAGCTAGTAATTACCTACGTAAAAAGATTCTTAAGGATTAAACTTGTTAGTACATGAAATCACTTAAAACAGAGAGTACCAAAATAACTGTTAGCTGTCGAGTAGTTTGCTTTTACCCTACAGACATTCTCACAGAAAGTTAATCTAGCATTATTGTCACCTACACCAAAATAGCCAGAGATACATCACACAAAAACACTTACATGTTCAGTTTTATACTAAATAAAATTAAACTTACTAATCAGAACAATGTAAAATATCTTTGTGAATATCATCTGTACAACCAGGGAAGAGTATAAAATTGTAATCAGGAAGATGAAGGAAGCAGAACCCAGCCTTGAGGAGATTCCTCAGATGGGAACACAAGTCAGCAGGTGATCATAACAGAACCTGCTCTTGGAGATAAGCAGATATCGGAGTGTGGGAACTTTGGAGGGTGAGCTTTAAACCCAGTCTGCAGAGGAAAGGGAAGGCTGTCCAGAGCAGCTTCCCAAGAGCAGAGCGCTGGCAGCCATATTCGTCCCTGCATCTCCCCCAACCCTCTAAACACCAGGAGGAAGGGACCATGCAGTGCACATGGGGAAAGTACTGTGAAAAGCATTCCAGGTGTCCTGCTTGATTTCAATAGAAAGCTTCCGGAACAAGCTGGGTAATTGCAAACTTGATCTAGATAAAGGAACATATCTCAGGGAGAGGCCTCTGCTGAGGAAGATTTCTCAGACTTTACCATTCAATCACTCATTCTCCCTCCACTGCCACATCAAGGGCAAGAAAAAAGTTGTAAGAGAAAACACTTGAGAGATGAGACTAGGTGAGTAAGCAGGAACCAGATCGAGGGAAGTTGAGACTCAAAAACTATAATGTTGAAACTTCTAGGAGAAAACATGGGGAATACTCTTCAAGACATTGGGGCCAGCAACTCATTGCCACAGCAATGAGCCCAAGTATCTGAGGACTAGGGCTACATGAAAACACAAGGAAACCAGCAGTTAAACAAACAGGCCACAGAAAGGGGGAAACTCTTTTGTCTACATTTCATACTGGGGCTAACATACAGACTTTGCCAAAAAGAAAAAAAAAAGCTGAAGAAATTAAATACCAAGGAACTAAAACTTCCAGTCAACAAATGAACAGTTTTTAAAGAAACACAAAAGGCCAATTACTATTTTTAAAGTGTTCAACATTAAAACTACTTCGAGACATCATCTCACCACAGTTGTAATGAAATCATCAAGTCCTCAAGAAAGCTCACAACAAATGTTGGAGAGGATGTAGGTGAAAGAAACCCTGATCGCTGCTGGTTGGCGCACAAATTAATAAGCCATTATAGGTATCAGTTTGGAGGTTCCTCAAAAGGTTAAAAATAGAACTGCCATATGACCTAGTTATTCCACTCCTGGAGTAAGCCCAAGGAACTCTATTTCTTTCCACAGAGATATTTGCATATCTCTATTTACTATAGCAAGGCAATGGACAAACACATCTATCCACAGATGAATGGATAATAAAATTACGTACAAATAATAAATAAAATGAGGATTTCAATGTGAGAGTATGAGGAGGGCATGGGAGGGGCTCCAGGGCGTGTAGCTATGAGGAACTGGGAGATGAAAGAGAAAGGGGAAAGTAATAAAATTTTATTTCAACTAAAATAAATGTCAGATAAAAATAAAACTGATGATGATTCAGGTCTAAAGAAAAAAAATGAAATCACAAAACTTGCAAGAAAACAGACTTAGACTGTATAACATTAAACAAAGTACCCAAACTCAAAAAAAAAAAAAAGGGTCCTCTCCCTCAGATGTAGCCTATAATGTAAACACCTGTAAGTGCAGGTATACCTTAACGTTTAGTAAGAAGACACAGAAAGGGCACTATCAGGTGATGAGAAGGGCTCGATCATACAGACACATGCGTCAGGGAAGACGATACAAAGCTAACAGATTGTGCGGTATCAGAGCTGCCCGCTTTGTATATAAAGGATAAGCTCATACAGTGTAACGGAGCGCGTGAGAGCAGAAGCAAAGCCCAGAGCTTCAGAGCCGGGCTCCAACTGGAGCTCACTGGGATGTGCAGACACTAGACCCAAGCACTTCCTTGTTTTGGTCCCTATCTTAGTCTATGATTGTAAGAACATGAGTTGTAAATGACCTGGAATCTTAAAGCAAACAACTAATGTACTACCAACAAAACAAATGAAGTACAATAGCAATCTTAAAAAAGCTAAATAAAAGCTCGAGCAATCAGTGAACTTGGGAAGATTAAATGTGAGCAATAAAGACAAACACATCATATAAATGCAGGTAGATTTTAAATTGAATTCCCCTAAGTAGTGACATTTAGAAAATGTGCATTTTTGTCTCCTTGTATCTGATCATTTCAGTCCCTCATATCCTCTGGTTCATAAACACTAAGAAATACTACTTAACTAATATTGATGAGAAGTAACACTGTGATGGCCTATTAGATATAATATAGTCCAAAACATTTCTGTTCTGCTCTCGACTTTTTGCCATACCAGATCTTCATGGCTCGTATCTTCACGAGAGGGCATAATATCATATTCCTTAAAGCAACTCAGAATGATTTAATTAATATAGTTTTGTGTGATTATTTTGGGTCTATGCTAGCCAAGCAGTGGGGAACCAACAAGCAGTCCTCCATTCAACACAAATTCTTAAAAACTCTCTTGGTTCTTCTGGTTTGTGATCTCCCCAGTACTTCGTATCAGTTATAGTCAAATTCCATGAAAGAATCTTGCTTGGCCCATTAGCTCTAGCTTCTTATTGGCTGAGTCTTACATATTAATTTAACCCATTTCTATTCATCTGTGTATCGCCATGAGGCTGTGGCTTATGAGCTAAAGTTCCGACTGGCATCTGTCTCTGGCGGTTCCATGGCATCTTTCTGACTTCGCCCTTCTTTCCCCAGCCTTCAGCCTAGCTTTACCTGCCTACATAGTTCTACCTTGCTATAGGTCCAAAGCAGTTTCTTTATTCACTAATTGTAATCACAGCACACAGAGTGGCCTCCCACATCAAGGTTGCTTCTATTATTAGTGAATTTGTGAAGTATGAATAAGGGCCATGGCCAATAAGCAAGAATGTATTAGAAGCTGCAGTGATCATGTAAAACACCACCCTGCAAACAAGAGAGAATGGAGACAGGAGTTCACCACCACTCCTGGGTCTGTAGAGTACTCTGCTGCCTGCAAACCTCTAATCCCACTGCAGATTGCAGACTCCAATAACATCCTTGCTGTACCCAACTATTTCCTAAGAAGACTGGCATCTCCAACACTCCCCACACAGACACGCGTTGCAAGCCCAACTTCTCCTTTATAAAGGATATGGATGTTTCAAACATAGAAGGTTGCCTACCCTCCAAATTCTCTATGCTTAGGCTGAAATTCAGTAGCCATGAGAAAAATCTGGTTTTCTAATGTGATAGGGCAAAAACATGACAATTAATGTATGTGTCTTTCTTACCATTATGGACTGTCATTTCAATGATAATCACTCTTTCATCTTATAGAATGCATACATATGTGTTCATATATACGTACACATACATTCATATACACTTAACACTGAACATATGCATATATTTTAAAGCTCATTAATGTCTTTTCAAGAATGTATATTTTCTTTTAATAAATTGTATAATTTTGAATATGAACATAGTATATGTACAACCATACTCCTTATGTTACAATATATCCTGGCTCCCTTGACTATTCTTGAATAAATTACTTAAACAAAAAAAAAAAAGAAACTCAGAATGGATCACA